TTGTGGGTCACTGATACTATCAGCATTTGAGGTAGATGAGGTAGAGTGTGGGATATGTCAAGCATAGGTAGATAAGTCATGAACTTTCTGCCTCCTTCTATCCCAGAAGCCCTTTTAGCCTCCTCTGTCCTCAGCCATCATTGCTTTCTTTCCTTTCCATGGCTATTTCCTTTCCTCTTCCCCAAATTCTTACCAACCAGGAACAGAACCATCATTAGTTTGAACCGTATTGTTTCAAGAGCTAGAATAAAGCTAGAGAATGGCTCCATGTAGAGAATATCAGGGCAAACATCAGTACTAGGAAACTGAAATAATCTTTTGATTGTTTTCAGAAGATATGAATTCCCAGCAAGGAGCCAGAAAGGGTTATACAGAAGCAGAAGATGAATGTGATTTCTGAATGAGATTAAAACAAGAAAGGCTGGAATAAGAACAGGCATAAGGACCCTAGGACAGGAAGGAGAGCCGAGATGCCTGGGGCATGGTGACTACTAACCTGATTCAGGAGTAAGCCTTGATTCACTCAGTCCTAAGAGATCGATTATAACAAATGATAACTAGAATGACGAGAGGTGAAAAAATAAAAAAGACGGAAAGGCCAGGCACAGTGGCACATGCCTATAATCCCAGCCCAGCACTTTGGGAGGCCAAGGCGGGCATGTCACTTGAGCTCAGGAGTTCAACACCAGCCCAGGCAATATGGCAAAACCCCATCTCTACAAAAGAAGATACATATATATACACATATATATACACACACAAAAATACAAAAAACTAACTGGGTGTGGTGATGCACACCTGTAGTCCCAGCTACTTGGGAGGCTGAGGTAAGAGGATTGTTTGAGCCTGGGAGACAGAGGTTGCAGTGAGCTGAGATTGCACCACTGCATTCCAGTCTGGGCAACAGAGTGAGGCTCTGTCTAAAAAAAAAAAAAAAAAAAAAAAAAAAATCAGAGGAAGGACATGCAGGATGGGAAAAGGGAGGATGAGGGAAAACTAGTTGGAATAGTCAGGAGAGGATTTATGTAGAGCAATTCTCAAGCCTCCCCAATCCCTGTCCTCCATCCCTACCCCTCATTCTGCACTCCACATATGTACTTTGTATGTACTTAAAGAGGAAGAAAATAGGACAATGATACCTCCAACTGCCCTCCTACAGCCAGCTTTCCATTTCTGCCACCAGTACATTTTTCTCTAAAGTAACCGTTTGGAACTCATCTTCCCTTTGCTTTCAAGCTGAGGGTTTGATTTGAATATTGCAGTTGTAGGATGACAATGTGTAAAGAAAGAGAGCTGGGGAATAGCATCAGAGAGAAACCAGAGTTTCAGTAGTAGTGTGGGAGGTCAGTCAGAGATCAACACACGAGGACAAGAACCATCTAGGAACAAAAACCAAAGAGCTCCAGACAAACTCTTATGAGAGTTTGTACCCTTCACCTAGCCCTGAAGGACAATTTTAGAGTGTCTTGCCACCCTCACCGCAGGAAACAGTCCCTTGCTCCTCCCTCTGGTCTGATCAGGTACAAGGAACAGCTGCCAGAGTTTGAGTGGGTTTGTATGTGTGTGTGGCAACCAGCCAGACACCCTCACGTTCCCCCCACTGACCTGAGCAGGGAGCCCACTGCCACTAGCAAGGGGGAAGCAAAAGAGGTGCAGAGAGGGATAGAGGGATAGTGCAGAGAGGCATTCCCAGCGTGGGAATGCTTACAAAATGCTAGTTGTTGATTTTTAAAATTTTTAAATTGTGTTCTTTGTTACTGTCTTCAGAGTTGTTGAACGTCAAATACACAAGACATTCTAATTTCACTGTGTATTTATCCAATTCGTGGGAAATTCTGATGTTAGTGAGGAGAGAAGATACAAACAAATGACATTGCTCTGGGCACTATTTGCTCTCACCATACCCTGGCCTCTAGTCAGAACTGACTCTCACTTTCTAGTTAGTCCTCAGATTGCTCTAGAAAGGTGGTGTCTCCCAGCCAGGCACAGTGGCTCACGCCTGTAATCCTAGCACTTTGAGAGGCTGAGGCGGGCGGATCACTTGAACTCAGGAGTTTGAGACTAGCTTGGGCAACATGGCGAAAATCTGTCTCTACCAAAAAAAAAAGAAATGTGTATATATATACACATACATACATACACACACACACACACACACACACACAAAAAAAAAAAATACAAAAAGCTAGCTGGGCATTGTGGCACACACCTGTGGTCCCAGCTACTCAGGAGGCTGAGATTGAAGAATCACTTGAGCCCAGGAGGCAGAGGTTGCACTGAGCAGAGATCGCACCACTGCACTCCAGACTGGGTGACAGAATGAGACCCTATTTGAAAAAAAGAAATAAGAAAGAGAAGAAAGAAGAAAAAGAAAAGAAAGAAAGAAGAAAGCGAGAGAGAGAAAGAAGAAAGAAAGAAAGAGAGGGAGAAAGAAAGAAAAGAAAGAAAGAAAGAAAGAGAAAGAAAGAGAGAGAGAGGAAGGTGGTGTCTCCCACTCCAGTATTTTCCCGTACCATTCATATACTCTCTAATGTCTAACATTCATCCCTCCTACTGCAGGTTCATTGTTTGTGTGTACCTTTAGAGACTCACCCTTTAAAAGCTCTTCATGAGATCCTGAATTTTCAAGCTGAAACCATAAGGCTCTTTTCACTCTGTTCTTGTTTCACTCTCTTTCCCACTGAATGTTCTCTTAGCTGTCTTGGGCTTTTGTCCCTAAAGTCTGGGAAATACTCACATTCCTTGACAATAAGGGGAAGGGAGAAACAGGAGTCCTAAACCTGAAGCAGAGACAAAAAGTAGGGAGACTGTGGTTCTGCTTCTGTAAAATCACCTCTCCTCTCCTCTGAGCCTCCCAGCTCTGATCTTAAAAATCCTGAAAATGGTCAAGATCAATGGCCAACCGTGATATTAGGACCTCCTTTCTATAGAACTACTACACAGAACCACAAAGTACAATGGAGCTGTAAGATGGAGGAAACACCAAGGGACCTGGGAACTGGGGAAAGTTATTAAGAACCATGTTAACCACAAGGGGGCACTGTGTCCCCGTGGGCTAAACTAGAATGTTTAGCTGCTCGACATGGAAATGGGACATGGAATATGCTCTTGATTCTTGAGCTTTTCGTCACTCTCCAACAGAGTAGGGAGGTCAGTCAAGGACAAAACCCCCACCCCACGACTAGCTCCCAGAAGAGGGCATCTTTTTCTCTACCAAACTCAGATTTCTTATGCAGAGACATCTATGGGAAAGATACACAGTCATCACCCATTTGACACACCCACCTACATGATAGATGTGTATGCACACACTCACCTATGTACACATACATGTAATGTGCTTCCATTTCTAGAGATTGCCCTGCTGACAGTGTTATCTATGTAGGCAGATATGCAGAAAAGACTTGCCTTCCTGTCCATAATACACAAGAGCAGCAAAGATTGATGCTGGTTATAGTTTTTTGCCTTTTCCTTGTGTTTTTCTGAGAAGCTACTTGGTCCCCAATGATTCCAATTATGCCGCTTCTTTTCTGCAGTGTGGTACTTCAGCACTCTGCTGCCTGCCCTGCGTGGGGTCACCCAACACCCTCACCATCCAATAACGCGCTCCACAACCCTGTTACCCAATACCTCCGCTTCCCCTTCTGACCCTGGCCTACCACATTTAAAATAGACCCAGTTCTATGAAGGAGAGTGACGAAATGCTCAAGAATCAAGGGCATATTCCATGTCCTATTTCCATGTCAATCAGTGTGTCAGCACCAAATATCAAGTGCATTAGTCCTCAACTCAGTTCCATTGAGGAAAGGGTATAATTGCCTGTGGAGTTTCTATAAAGCAATGTAGCAAAAGACCTTGTAATATTCCATCACAGTAGTGTTGCCAATAATGCTACAAGGTCCCTCCTCATTTTCACTTCTTGTGCCTCAAGACCCTAAGAATCAGCCTGCAACAGCTGCAAAATAAGAATTCCTCTTGATTGTTCAAAGTTGTTAAAAAGCTTCTTTATAAATAAACCACAAACAGACTTAGTTAGCTCCCAGATCTGTTGGATTCCATGAGGGAAGAGGAATTCCCAAGAGAAATCCTCCTTTTTGCTGCATCCCTCCTGAAAGAGTCTTCAGATGAAAATGAACTACGAGCAGCCTAACCCTTATAGTAAGTTCATGCACCTGGTCTACTGATTGCACTAAACTATCCAAAATGGAATCTTAGGTGACCCCCCAGGGAGGATCCTACAGGAAGGTGGGTCTCAAGATATCCTTGGGCACTTCTGTCATCAGCCTTCTTCAATTTTTTTTTTTTTTTTTTTT